TTTGATTGACATTGTTTATTGAGTTAATTTGATGGAGTGGAGATGAGAGAGAATTTAGAGAAGAAGAAGAAATAGGTTAAGATCGATTTTGCAAAAGTGGAGATGAAAGAGCAATTTACGGTTTACAAGCATTTTACCCCTTTATTGGAGCTTTGGCAAGCAATGTGGGACCCATTTTAGTGGATTTGGCACCATTTGAGTGAATTTGGTATCTTTTGAGTTATAGGAACATGACATGGTAAAATATTTTTTCCATATCAATACTTTTTTAAATTTTGCTTTCTATGTCATTAAAAAAAATATAAAAAATGCCACATGCGTGGAGTTAACGGCTAAATTGACAGAAGGATTAACGTTATGCATTTTTTAGAGTTGAGGGATTAAAAAGTGCAAAAAATTGTTGAGGGACTAAAAATGTGTAACTCACTAAAGTTGAGGGACCAAATTTAGCATTTAACCATTTTGATTTTGAATTTACATTCACATTCCCGCCCAAGGCCCAATTGCAGACATTTCCGTTTCAGTTTCACCAATCACGAAAGCCCTGTCTCTCTCACTCCAAGTCACCGTCGATCTCCTTTTTCTCCTCCCCTAACCATTTCGCAGCCTTCTATCTTTCGCTCTGAATAGTGAAAACTCTAGGGCGCTACGCCGGCGACGATGAATCACTACCACATCTACGAAGCCATTGGCCGCGGCAAATACTCGGTAACTTCACTCTCGGCTTGCTCCATTTTTCCAAAAATCTTGAATCTCGTGGCGTTTGGTTGATTGATTTATAGTTTATTTTGGTTGATTTTGAGTAGACTGTGTACAAAGGGAGGAAGAAGAAGAGTATCGAGTACTTCGCTATCAAAAGTGTCGATAAATCGCAGAAGAGCAAGATGCTTCAAGAAGTAAGTTTGCGATTCTTACTTTTTATGCTGCTTTTGCTTCAAATGCTTCAAGAAGTAAGTTTGCGATTCTTACTTTTTATGCTGCTTTTGCTTCAAATGCTTCAAGAAGTAAGTTTGCGATTCTTACTTTTGTGAGCAACATTAAGCTCTGTTCAGGAGAATGCGAGATCCTTTGTTTGAAGTATTTCTGCTAATTTCAAGTTCCAAAGAATCTTGGATCTAAGTGAATTAATGCCAATTTGAACGAGTGATTGTAGTACTGCATTAGATGTAGCAAAATGTTGTTTTCGCTCGAGCAGCTTTGAAAGTACCTACTTGATGAATGAGTACTGTGCTGATTTTAACATTCACTTTTACGCTTCTCATGATATGCAGGTTAGGGTTCTTCATTCTCTAGATCATCCTAACGTCCTGAAATTCTATTCCTGGTAAGGGATCCATAATTCCATACAGGCATGGAGAAAACAATCTTCAATGTGTGTATGTGTGTGTGCGTGTGTGTTTTTAATTATTGTTCACTATCATACATGAGGTGTTATGTTTCTCCTTATGTTTCTCCTTCATAGTTCCTCGAAATCTTCCCTGAATGTTTCCAGTTGTGAATTAGGTATGAAACCTCGGCTCATTTGTGGTTAGTTTTGGAATATTGCGTTGGGGGAGATCTCATGTCCTTGTTACAGCAGGTACCTAGTGATTTAGTTTAATTCTTATTTGAACTCTCTATATCACTATTTCTTTGACAACATATTCTGACTCTTTACTGAAATGAAGAGTACTTCAGATTTTATTAGTTTACTCCATATTTTGACAATAAGATGGGATTTTGTGGGTGGCAATACATAGACAGTAAATCGTGGATACTAACACAACATTCGTCTTTCCAACAAAGTTTTATGTTTTTCAATGTTAACATAACTGTGGGATGGTCTTCTCTTGTTGACTGTCAAATGGCAAAGACAAATCATGTTATGTTCATTGACAACAGCATTCACCTTAACATCAAATGCCTTTTCCACTTGACTAGTGGCTGTTGTATACCAACCAGTTTACCAGTGCTGACGGACAACATACATCTATCAACTATAAAGGAACAGTAGGCTGGACCTTGGAAAAAATGTGTCTGAAAAATGCTGGTTCTTTTTCCTTAATTTGGTCTTTTATTCAATTAGTTATATTTTATGGATGAGCTGCAGGATGGTCAGCTGCCTGAAGGTTCAATTCATGATTTTGCCCATGATCTCATCAGAGCTTTGCAGTAAGAAATTATCATCTACCTTTCTCCTTTTCAGGATTAGTAAATAATAAATAATATATCTTCTCATATTTCTCAGATTCTTACATTCAAAGGGAATTATTTACTGTGATCTGAAACCATCAAACATCCTACTAGACGAAAATGGCCATATAAAGGTACTTGTGCGTTTACTTTCCTCATATGTCAAGTAGTTCTCATTGTTCCCATGCATCTGAGTATTCTTACATTTTTCTGCAATGCAGCTTTGTGACTTTGCATTGGCAAGAAAACTAGGTGATATATCTAAGACTCCTTCTATGGTAAGTTGTTCTCGTTATTTCAATAAATTAATTGCTACGAATATGATATTCATTGCTTAGATCAACAAATTCTGAAACGATACTTTTAACTTTGCCTTTTAAGTTATTCATTGCCATAATTTAACTCTATCACTTGTTTTAGTTGCCACAAGCAAAACGTGGAACCCCCTGTTACATGGCTCCTGAGCTTTTTGAGGACGGAGGTGTCCATTCTTATGCGTCTGATTTCTGGGCCTTAGGTTGTGTTCTGTATGAATGCTATACAGGAAGGCCTCCCTTTGTAGCAAGAGAATTCACTCAGCTGGTTAAATCCATCCTCTCAGACCCAATTCCACCTCTTCCAGGAAACCCAAGCCGTCCTTTTGTCAACCTAATTAATTCTCTCCTGGTAAAAGATCCAGCTCAGAGGATACAATGGCTTGATCTTTATGGGCATGCTTTCTGGAGGGTCAAATTCACTCCACTACCTTTACCTCCTCAGCCTGCTTTTGAATATATGATAGATTCACATGCTAAACCATGTCTCGTAGAACGTAATGGTGACAGATCTTCTGAAAGCAAGACCCCTCCTAAATCTCGGGTAAAAGATTCTAGGGGGGTTATAAAACAGGATGAAAATTCTGTCGTGGGTTCAAGAGGCCACGAGACACCTGTGAAGGGTACACCAGTTGGCCGTAAAACTCAAACAAAGCCTTCGGGCAGAGGAGTCGAGGAGAAACAGAAAGATCCTTCCAGTTTTATTAAGCGAGTGAACCTCCTAAGGTTGTCGAGAATAGCAAAAACAAACTTACAGAAGGAGAATGATAAGGAAAATTACCGCAGGCCCTTGCCCAACGGATCTGAGAATGATTCTGAAGTCAAAATTGAGAACAATGATATGGAACTTGACTTTAATGAGAACACTGAAGATGAGACAAATGATGAAGCAGATGGATCTGATACCCCATCCTGTGCACATGATGACAAATTATCTGGTCAGAAACAGCAGCTGGTAAAGGTGGATGAAACCGATGAAGGCACCCAACAATCAGATTGCCCTTCAGCTACTAATTTACCTGCCTCAGATGAATCAAGAACATATGATCTGGAATCATCCTCAGATAATGTTGAAGTGGCCGCTACTCCACCCAGTGTCAGTTCCCAACCCAGAACCCAAAGATTTAAAGAAGGTTCAGAATCTGATGCTGGCAAATCATCTAACAATCTGTCACATGTTCTCTGGCATCCATCTGATCTTTCAGTAAGACCTGTAATGCCAAGCAGGAAAGCTGATAAAGCGTCAGAGTTAATTCCTTCACTCCCATTTGAGGCACTTCAAGTGTCTGATTTCATCAAGATGTCAAAGGAGCAGCTAGATGCGCTCAACAATAGGGTCATAGCCATATTAAATGGAAATAGTAGTGTAGGGGAGAAGCAGAATGTTATTAGATACCTTGAGATGCTTAGCAATAATGCTGATGCAGCTGATATCTTGACCAATGGGCCAATAATGCTCATGCTTGT